ATTACTCTGTACTGCCAAAGGGTCATTATTGCCATGTCAATGATGTTACAAATGAGACTTTGTGATGAATCTTTTCCCAGCACTTCAAACATGGTGGGTTGAATTGAAGCTTACAAATAGGTGCAGACCTAAAGATGAGGAAACTTGGTCATCCATCTGACTGCATATTAAATTATGTGGTTTTGGAGCTTCTTTTTTAAAAGTGGAAGAAGTCCAGTGAACCTTTGAAAAGTGCACATTTTTTGGTTTATAGTAAATTTTTAAGGAGATGAAAATGTCACCCTATCCTATAAAATTCTTCATTACGCGTCAATAATGTTTTATAATGGTGAGAAAAATAAGGAAAAACTCAAATTACAGGAGTTATTCTGTGAAAAAAAAAATACTCCACACATATTCACACACTTCAACACACACTCGCAGACAATCACAGGAGAGGAAAGGGGATAGAGCAGAATTCTTTACGGCCTGTCACAGTGTCAGAAGCAAGTTCACGGTGAGCGTGTCTTATTATGCACGGCATCCGAAAAACTGCAGTGAATTAGCAAAACATATGGCGACTTAATGATATCAATGAAGTGGCCATGAGGGCTGCCTAGGAGCAACAAATCTGTTAGATACGGAGTGGTGTTAGCTCACCGTGCCCCACTGTTTCCCTCTGACTGATAGAACAAGCCAACGCTACGTCCATTAAGATCAATACGGCAGCCATTAAGATAGTAAAAAGCACATTTACCAGGGTTGTCAGGCTCATTATTGCAAGCAGATGGCAGCCCTTGCACTTACAATTCTAGACAAGGGAAGCTGTGACAAGACTTCAAATTAGAATCTATAATGCTAATCTATGGCCTGCTGGTGCAGTGGAGATAAAAATGCATTATACAGCACAAGACACTGAGTCCTGGACTGGACTCCTCAGAATGCAGCTACAGTACAGCTGTGGGACGTCAATGTAAACTCTGGTTTGGGGCTTTGGTGTAGTTTTTAAAGCATTTCAAAGAATATACAAAATTATTCATGTTGTGTCACTGTGGCCCTTGTGCACTGGGTAATTAAAGTGGTAATTCTATAGTGTGAGATGATGATTTTTTGCCTTACATGCGCTGATTACTGGCCAAGCTTTATGGTGGATGTCATATAAAGGAGGAACGCACTTCATGTTTTCTAGGTTTCACCCCTCAAAGTAAAATATAGCAACCCGTATAACATTATATTAATACAAGTTCATCATTATTTTCATGTCTGTGTCAATATTCTGCCCATAATTTTATTAAAACACCCCCTGATGTTGAAACCTTCAGTCCTGGTTTGCTCATTCTTGTTAAAGAGATGCCATCAGTGCACAAATATTGTTGAGAAAACCATTTGTGTCAAGGTAAAACCAAATGAAATACAAACAGCCTAAAATGTACGTCTGGATGATAAAAAAAAGTGTAATCTTGAGAAGTGAGTATTTGTGTTTTTTTGGAAAAGATCAACCCATTGCTGTTGGAGGTGAAGGCGAAAGGCTGGGATTATCCTCACTGGTGGAGTTTATCACCCACACTTACCAAAGTATTTTAACAAAAGTGACAATTTCACTTCCTCTGTCCAAAAACTCAAAAGCACTTTTCTGTGTGCAGAGTTTGTTACAGCACTAGAGACTCTTAGGCATAAGAGTCTCTGGTGCCTGACTTTCTTTTAAGCCTGTAATCCACTCATACCAAAAAATAATAATAATAATAAAGCTAAACTATACCAAAGCAATATGGTAAGGCATCAACACCTAAAGTAAGATTACAGTGACATAGGATGGTGAAAGCTATATATATTTATATAACAGCTCTATATAATAGTGTAGGTAAATGTTGCTTGTGAAGATCAGAATCAAGAGAATGAATCAGTGATGTAAAACTCTCACAAATATCAAGGGGAAATAAGAAGCAGTTGTTATAAATGATGCAGAAATGACTTGGGAAGCAGCAGGGAGGTGTCAGCTGTTCAGGGTAAACACTCTGCTAATCATGAGAACGAGTGAAACAATCCATAAAGACATTAACACTTCATTCACTGTGGATGTTACCATACATTTGGAGAAGTCTCACTAGGGCAGTAACACTGTGACAAATTCAGCAACAAGAGATCAATGTTAAGGAGCACCGCAGGAGCCTGGGAAAAGGGTCCGGGACAGAAAAGACTCAGTGGTTGCAACCAGTGGCTTCAGCAAAGTCCTTAAAAGCTGAAGCAAAGAGTCAAATTTTGATGGAATACCACAGAAAAAAAGGCGGCTGAATGTTCATGGAAAGTCAGCCTTTGTATCATATCCTTATTTTCCCTTTCAGGATGAAGTCATGCTCTGCTCTTGTTCATCCTGCTTTTTCTCTCTCCCCCCGGACTCTTCCAAATAAATGGCTAAAAAGAGATCTACTTAAAGCTGTCAGAGAGTGTCGGAGCCAACAGCCGGGCCATTCCACACGACCTACTCCCTGACCCCCTCTTTTCAGGGGTCACTTGTAGGCTGCCTCTGGTGGGAGTGCGGGGTAGTCATGCACTGAATGACAATGTATAAACATATGAATCGCTCCCTTTCAAAGGCTGAGAGAGAGAAGCTTTACAGGATTTCAAGGTTTATCTTAATTTAGAGAGAATAAGGTCTTTGAAGTGAAAATCATCAAGAATTTTCTCTGTGGACAAGCAGAAAAATAAGAAACTTTTAAACCAACATCTTTAGGAAACGAATGATTTAATTATACCCTACGGTAACCTTTTTGTTGTTGTCATTAAGATGACAGGAGAAGGAGTTTTTCCTAATGCCACTCTGGAGTTTTTTAGCGACTTCAGCGCACCAGAGATCTTGAAGCAATAATAGAAACACAAAGGAGCGACAACCCTGCAAGACTAATGATTTGAAGTGACCCGGGGTGATCTGACAAGATGTTTTAAATGCATGTTTTCTATATCAATACTGCACCGATTTTACCCATCATTAAGCCGGACACATAAAATCCATAATTGGCAGAGATATTAGCCCGTAATTACTGACCTCCTCTCATAGGACATTTTGAAAATTCACCCAGTTAATATGGTGCAGATGATAAATTATTCCATTGCTTTGTGTTAATCACTACAGTGGAGTCATAAGGGCTCGGCCCCAAAGCTCAGTTTTAACATTAATGCCCTACCTCTCATCAATATTAATAGTTGCCTTTATTAAGGGGATGGTGTGTGGATGTCTATGTGTGTATGAGAGGTTGGCGAGAAAGGGAGGAGCGAGAGATGCTATTTAGACTCAGATGGTGAAGGTGCATGACAGGAAACTGAACCAGCTGTGTAACATATAAGCTCCAAGACAGCGGAAGGCAAAACTTTAATCACCGTTTTCCATACTTAACTCACTTACAATGATTACTTTGTGATTTTTCACACCTGACTCAGTAAATATTTAAACTTTTTCCTCTCCTCTTGCCTTTTCCTCTGTTGTGAGTGTTTACTGTTTATGTTTCTAAGCAGGGGACGTTAATTACAGGCTGTGACAGATGCCAGAGTATGAGTCAGTAGTGCATAATTTCATGTAAAGCTAGCATGAACCTGTACCTGAGTGAAACAACAGGGAAAAGAGAAGCTGAGTGACTGACAGAGAGAAAGCTGTAAGAGGACAAGAAGTGATGGAAAGATAAGCAAGAAGACACAAGAAAGGATAAGGAGAGGAAGAAGGGAAGGAGAAGACGCCGGTTGGCCACTAGTGAGGGGTCCTGAGTTTGACAGATGCTTCCAGTGATGACCATCTGCCCTGAACAGCAGAGGTGCTGAACTGCAGGTTTTAAAGCTGCTTCTTCCAACAGCTCCAAATGAAGCAGAGGAGAGGACCTCTGGACAAAAGGTTGTGCTGAGAGAGGAGCGAGGGCCACGCCACCGCTGTACAACTTTAATTTATGATGGATGAGAGCGGAGGAAAGGTCAGGTGGTGATAAATATGAGAGCGTTTGTCCCAGGAGGTCATCAATTATGCCGCGGCTTCTAACTTTCGATCTTGCGGGCGAAATGGATCTCTCCTTTGTAAGAAAACTATCTCTCAGAAAATTGGAGTGTATTAATCAAATTGGTGACGAAGGAGGGACGGAGTGTGAGGGGGAAGATATCAACTTGAATCTGAGCCGTGATCCATATCTGGAGGTCTCACGCTGTGTTGGGTGGATAACTGTGTCCTGAAGCGGATATAAAAGACACGCAGGATTGTTGTCGTGGCTGCTGATTTTTTATTTTCACTCTGAATAAGAACATTAAACAAAAGTTGGCAGGTTTGGGTTTAATCATAAAAGAGTATGGTATAAAAAGAAAACAAAAACATTGTAAAAAACACACACCTTTAAAATCTATTTGACAGCTGAAGCAAACGCAATGCTTTCAAATGGTCAATGAAGGAAATTAGATTTCAGTTCCTAGAGGGAATTAAATCCGTCCACTTTCTTGTCTAACCTTGAAAAAGCTAAAATCTTGTGGATGAATGCATGTGAAATCTATAGATTTACTAGTAAACCAAAGCAACACTTGACATGGATAAAATCAAAGCACCTCACCAGCTCTTAAAAGCCACTGCTTCTCTAAAAAATAGGTTAAATTCCATCCAGAGGTAATGAAATACAGAAGTCTCTTCTTGAAAGGGCCAAAAGGAACGACAATAAGATCACAGTGGCTGACCTTTGACCGAGGCCACCGTCCTTTTATCATCACCGTCCTTCCCCTTTTCTTCCCCTTGGCTAAAAACTGCCACTCGTGGAAAAGTTATTAGCCTCCTGCTATTGTTTCACAAACTCAGCCTGGTAATGTAGAAAAGATTGCGATGATTATAGGATAAACTGAAGAAAGAGAGACAAAGGTGAAGAAACAGAAGATACGGGTTGATGGGACGGGAAGTAAAAGTCCCAGTTCCTTTCTTCCTTGGTGGTGTATATCAAACCAGAGCTGAAGGGGTAATGGTCTTTTTATTCAGCTGACAAGAAGCCAGGATGTTGAGCCCCCCCCTCCAATCGATGGCCCTCCATTGTCTCCCTGCTAGCACACACAGACAAAAAAAACTCTTTACTTGAATTATCTGTTACAGCCCCAAACAGCTGTTTTTAACACAGCTGAAAAGATAAAGAAATATATTAGAGGGGCCTCTGTAGAAGTGGTGACCCCAATGAAAATGTATTACCCCTGTGCCACCTCTAATTTCAGTCCCCAGCAGCTTTTACTGGTGCAATGGCCTTTTAATCGCGGACCCCCCTTTTGTGCTTTGAGCTCTCAATGACTTATTCATTCTATTTAGATGACCCAGCATGAGCTAAAATAGTTTGAGGGTTGTTAGTAACACATTTCACTGTATTTTTTCCCACCAAAAAAAAAAAAAAAGAAACAGTGCTGTTTTTGTAACCAACTTATTTTCCACAATTTATCTTCAAACTAAACTTTGGAGTAATTTATTTTAGTCACTTTTTGCAAAAAAAAAAAAAAGTAAGTTCCAGCATCACCTGAAATTCTACTTCTTCTCTCGTAAATTATTGCATTGCCCTTCTTCCCAAAATAATATTGATTGATGGATCTTCAACAACAACAGTATATTTTCTCTGTCACCTTTAATTGTGTTTATCTCACCTCCCCACCTTCCCATAAGTCTTTGTTTGCAGGGGGACATCTTGATTGTTTAAGGCCCTGCAAGAAAACCAACAGGAAAAAAAAAAAAAAACAGCCGTTAAAACCCTGGGTCAACAGTCATATTTCCTACCTGACTTACTATCACAATAAACGGCCTGAGGGACAAGTGCCACACATAAATACCAAATAAAAGATTCACCATCTGAAAATCCTCTCGGTTGGTCATGCACTTGAACAAGGGTAAGGAGTATCGGGTTGGTTATTATTGTCACCTCTCCAACCCCCCTCACCTCCAATCAGCAGAAAAAAAGAAATGGAAGGTGCAGCAAGGGGCTCTGTTCTTGCTTTTCTAGTCCCAGGGTATGGTGTAGGGGTCTCCTAAATGTGCCATGTCGTATTGATCCATATGATCCTTCAAAAAAAAAAAAAAAAAAGCCAGACTAGCACTTACACGCCACCCCAGCTGAGTAAGGGCTATTGCAGCGCTACGAAGCTAATCAATTGTCTCTGTATGGCATGCCTTGTCTTCTGCATGACCATGTCAGTTTTCTTATGTGTGCCTTATTTTCATGTGCAAGGCCTCAGCAAAAGGGACTTAAAGTATGCTCCAAAATGCGTTTCTTTTATATCTGTTGTTGTATATAACAAAATGTCAAACATGTTTCTCTATATGTGCAGAACAGCATTTGCCCTCAAATTCGGAGGATATCTCCACTGCAGAGTATGTTTTCAACAAGATGACATGCTGCGGCCTCTTTGAATCATACTGTTTATTAAGCTTGCTGCTGCAGTGTAAGAAAGTACAACATTAATGGGAAGCAATATGTTCTTCCCCAGCTAAAATGATAAACAGATTAAAAAGAGAAAGAAATGTGATATACAATTGAAATGCTTAGAGCAACCACTCAGCTGTGAGGACTTCCATGTTTGGTGGATAATATCTATGACCAAGAAGGATTTGTGAACGATTAGCACGTAATTTGCTGCCAGCTGCGCCTCATGAAATCAATTTAGTTGACATTTTGAACTTTAACCAAAGCCATGTATGCCCAAATTAGTGATCCAATATCCTCCCCTCCTTCTTTTTTTTTTTCCTCTGCAAGCATTTCAACTGCTTCTACAGGAATCTGGATTTGGTTTTTATGAAAACACCACGCCTTAGCTCCCACAGCTTGCAAAATGACATGGATTTACTGCAGCTGACTAAAACAATTTCTCGTCTGCAAAAATGACAATCAAAACAACTTCTGTTCTGCAACGTGTTATTTCAGATCGACAAACAGATGCAGAAAATCCAGACAGAAAGCCCAGCAGAGCCTGAAGGAGAATTTGGTTGACCTCAAAACTTCTCACACTGTTTGTAATGTTTTGGCCCAACACTGCTGAAGGTCTGGTCACTGTGTTATCTAACAAGTTTATTTCAAGTGAGGAAACATGGTGATAGGAAAAGAATATAGGAAGACCTGTTTTCAAAAGTACATGTCTGCTCTGGAATTGTAAGCACTTGGGTTCAAGATGTCATCCTCATGCCTGGGCTGTGCAATGCAAGCAAAAAAAGGGGGGAGGGAAAAAAAGGAACTAGCAGCACTGGGTTTTTCTGAAAGCTAATATGTGACCTGCTGATGAAAAGTTCCTCCTTCGGAATTAAGTTGAATGTCCAGCGTTATCTCTCTGTTGGAATTTCTCTTATCGCCCCGAGGGAAGTGAGTGACAGATTGATGCAAGTTCTTACCTGAGCCTCCCCACGTACCCTCTATATGTATCCTGCAACGGACAGATACTGTTAGTGCGCCTCGCTATTTTATACTTAGACCTCTCAAAAGCTGTTGAGAGACGGGGGTAAGAGAGATGGTCCCGGGCATCCGTGTGCTTGGGTGGGAGGGGGATTTGGTTTCAAGGGATGGTGGGGCTCTGTCTGCACACCAAAAAAAAAATATTAATGCACATCATACATCCTATTTGAGAAATTAAAGGAATATAATTAACATCTTATTAAAGTTTCAATTTTGTCTCTTACCTCTCTAGATCAGTACATGCTTCTTTAACTATCAGGTGGTTTAAAATGCATGAAAAAGAGTAAAATTTAGACAATTTTTTCATGCTAGCTTCAAATGTGCCAGTCAAAGCTATGACCCACCATCGTGGTTATAACTATAGCGATTAAAGTTTATTTGATGAGTTATTTTTTCCAGCTCTGTTGCACCAAATGCACTCCTTTTTCTTGAAATTCAGCAGTAAACGGAAATATCTCAATTCTTTTATATAGGTTGAATCTTCATGTACGTCTTTGAAGCATAACAGAATTAGTCTATTTGTTCGGGGTGTTCTTCATTAACTATGATGTACATGTTAGGCTCAGATTTTTTATCTTCTGTTTATGACAACCATTAATAAATTCTAATATGGTAACGCCTGATGCTTATCTTCATTTTTTCTCTTATTTAACTAAAGTTTTGCACTTTAGTACACAAACAGATTCCATCTACACAACAGTATGAATTTTCTGGGCGTGGGTTTCACTTGTCTTCCACACTCATATGTTTTCTTTGTGTTTCTTGTAATTTTCTTGGACTGGAATAAATAAATAGATAAAAATGTGATGAACGATCACTTTTTACCTTTGACTTTTACAAGGCGTAACCACACTGTGAAGCACATACTTTTCCTTGCCATATTATAAACATATGCGTGCGGCCATACTTGCATAACCAGAAATGTAAATCAAAGCGGGCCTAAAAAAAGAGTGTCAAATTTAACATGTGAGTTGCACACATAAAAATATAACTGTCTCTGGTTTGGATTTGGGTGTACCCCACCCACTTATTTACATCCAAACCCTTCTTTATTCTTAAGTTATTGTTTCTTTAGGTTAACATCCTGTATCCTTATTTAACCTTAAAGGCAGGAAGAGACACAGACAGCCACATGGTGAACACATGTACAAAGACACAAATAGTCTCTAACAGCAAATGATGATCTGTAAATGCTTACTGACTGGCTTGAATGTCAGATAACTATTAACAACACCATATCATATGACATCTGTGTTCCTAGGTATGTCTTTTTACATTTTGATTCTGTAGTCTGTATTAACTTCAAACTTCGTTTTTTCTGCTCAATGAATTGAAAACATGAAATTTATGTTTGGCAGCTTTCCATTGTGAAGTATATACACCAATAGTAAAAGGAAAAGAACATTATTTTACATTTCTATCCCCCAAGAACTGTATGAGCAAATGTTTTCAGGACTTTGTTAATTAATGTGAAAGCAAAGGGTTAATAGCACACCTTTTCACCTCTCTCACTGAACTCATTGAACCTGAAACTGCTGCATTTGTCACACTACAGCAGCTGACATTCAGCCACATATTTACAGGCTTAAACCACTGCATTAAATTGATTACTTTCGTCCGCAGGTAAGGGGAACTTAAGATGCCTCTGTCATCCACTTTAAAATGCACTTGGATTGGCTGCTGGTAACGCCTGATTAGTCCGCCTGCCAGAACAGCTTCAGACAGCTTTATTCAGTGGTAGGAGTGCTGACTGTGTCCATGCCCCTGAACCAGGACCACCAATTACTGGATGAGAGGTTATGATCCCAGATCAGTACCTCTGTTTAAGGATGCTTTGAGAATTCCTATCATGGCAGTTAAGGTCTCCTCATCCACAAGTAACTTTATAACCTTTGTTGAGCTGTAAGTGGAGTTAAACTTCTGACTTGTACACTGTGTGATCCAGCCTTTTTACTGGCAAAATATCTGCAAAGCTTGCACTCTGTGAGCTGAGTGGAGAGGGGGGTTTCTTTTGTAATAACAGACTTCAGAGTGCGCAGACATTTGTGATATTTGAGAAAACTGCATTAACAGTGATCAAAACTTTACATCCTGACAGTATATCTCAAGCTGAAGTGCAAGTACGCTTATGTTGACCTCTGACCTTACACTAGTCTGAGGAGATCAGAACAGCGGAATACATCTAAAGCCGAGGTGCTGAAGTTGAATCCCCTTTGCAGAGCTATCGGAAGGATCTGCCTCCTTCTGCATACCAAGACGGGGCTTATACCGTGCCAATAATCTGCACCTGGACAGTGTTGTTCTACTTGTGGGCTTATCTGAGAAGTCATACATTTTATCATTTGCCAGGTGCAGCCAGGACAAGGTTTAAGGCAGACAAGGTCTCTGTTATCAAGAATATATATCTCAGCATCTGATGCCAGGGATTCAGAGGGGAAATGACGGCGTTGGGACCTGGTGTGCTAGATAATGTGGAGTCTGGTATTTGGTTGAGAGTAGAGCCGGAGTGAGCACACATGGAGGGATACAGATTATTCTTTAACACAACTGGACACATGTTTCAGATTTTTAGAGAGTAAAAATGGCAGAGTGATACAGAAAAGCTGAAATAGCGCATACCAAGAATCAATTTATTAGATTAGCTATATTTTCCATTGATGCGCCAGATGCACCTCTTTTCTCAAGTTACTGCGCTTTTATATTTTTGACATTTACATCATTCCAATCTGAAAATCTGTAAAGTTATGATTCATAATTCAGATTTTACCCTTTTGGTTTAAATATGACTTGCACTTGTATTTAAGTGATTGTGTCCAAAGAGATGAGAAAATAACTGCTGTAAAAAAAGGAATGTATATTGGGACAGTAACTATCTTTTTAAGAAATTATTAGTCATCCCTTAACTTAGTGCTCTCTTAGTTTTATTTTCTTTCTTAGTTAAAGCCATTCATAGTTTTTTTTTTTTTTTTAAATCACATCCACACATGGTTTTATATTTGAATAACTTGAATGCCTTTTTTGTATTTAAAGTGTGAATAAGTAAAATAAATAAAACAAACTTTTTGAAAATTTTGTAAACTGAATGGTGCAGAAAAATCCATGATAAAAACCATGACAAAAATATGCAAAAAATAAGAATTAGTGAGAGATATATGCAGGGGCAGGTACAAGGGGTGGTCTCCTGAAAACCTCAGATGGACCATGTTCCAACAAGCTGACAGGGGCTTTCTGTGCATTTTGAATGAAGCACTTTTCCCCCTCCTTTCTTAGAACTTATTCGTGCCTCTTAACTTCATGACTACATGACCTTAGACAAATATGCCTTTGTCGGGGCTTAAAGCTCCTGTAAGGAATTTAAACTGGTTATGAAACATACTGAAATCAACATAGCTAATTTCTTCATTGTTGTACGTCATGCCTGTAACATGTGAAGGGGGTAGGGTCAGATTCAGAGATCAACAGCATGCTAATGAAATGAGACACCTTTTTTTCAGTTTGTTTCCAAGCAAAGATTCACAGTTAGTGATGCAGATGACTGTCAAAAGAAAGCTTGATGAGATTTTTGTTTTCCTTGTCAGAAAAATGACTAACATAAAAATAAGCAGAAAGTAAGTAAAGAAATATGAGATCTACAGGGGGCGCCAATAACAACACAAACAGAAAATTTCACACAGGAGCTTTAAAGATCAAAACTGAGGAGGTTTAAACATTACTACTGTTGTGTTACTTCCCCAAGTAAATAAAAAAATACACAGGAACATAGCATTTATTTTAAAACCTTAATGTTAGCGGTTCATGTTTGGTGAGATAGCAGAAGTAAATATATGCTAGATACTCCTGCAAGTATTTATTATATTTGATTTATCATAATATTTTCGGAATACATCTCCACATTAAATAACACAAGAGGAAATGGAGAAAAATAGGTCCCTCACATTAAATACTGGATTTAAATTCCAAATATTCTTCGTAAAAATGAATAAAAGAGCATGAAATAATGACTGTGATGAAGAGAAGGGGGTAAAGAGTTTGGAGGGTTACAGATTAAGGTTTAAAACACTTGTTTTAAATGAATATTATGTCAATGCATGTCTGTCGTTATCAAAAAGATAACAATAGGTATTCCTAAAGGCATGTATTTTTGTATTAATGAGTCTCATATAACTGGGTATAACTTCTTTAAAGTAATATTAGATCTCTAAATACTTCTTTACAATTTAGTCTCCACCTGGCAGATCATTTGTCTTGATCATATTCAGAGAGCTCTCAGTACCTGTAACCTATATTCTAGTGAATCTAGCAGCTCTCTCATGGGCAGAAAAGGAGAAGACAGAGGAGCAGAAGGAGATCCATCAGGTGATGTATTACCCTGTAGGCATTGTAATTTGTTATATAAGCTTCATGTAAGCTCAGCAGCAAGATTAAAGACCTCCAGCTCAATGTATCAGTCACCCGTCAACTGCTGGGTCAATTTCCCTTTAACCCTTGTTTTGTGGTTCATAACCCTCTTACAAATATGACACTGTCAATCAAAATGTAGTGGCTGGGCATCCGCTGACTGGCCCCCTGGTTTCTTCCTTTTTTTTGCCATGTTAGAAATGAGCTCGCTCTCAGCATACAACCAAAAACTGAAAATTGCCAAATCTTCGTTTGCTACATCTTTCAATTTTTCTCAACATTTAGGATTATCTAAATGCTTAAATGTTCTCCAGTTTTAAATTAAATTTGAAAATAAATCCCTTGAATTAAACTTGCTTTTCAACATGCTGTCTGTTCTCTGTGCTTGCGGTTTGCCTCCCAGTCTGTTTTTTTCTTTTTTGTTCCTTTGGATTTGGGAAACCGTCATCTTGAGAGGCTCACTCGTCATTAGCAGCCAGCAGACATTGGACGCATTACACACTGTGATATAAATGACTAAATGAATCAGCACATCTATTAAAGGGTGTGTTTCCCCTCCATGGTGCCTTGATATGATAAGCCCATATTTTGTTTTGAATCCTAATGACTGGCGTAGGTGTGCATTCATCACGGATTATTGGGGACTTAATTTAATTGAGCTGAAGCGATCGCCTGTAAATCACATTACACTGTCATTTCTCTTTAGAGAACGCAGACAAAAGCCCCCGCTGGCTGTGACTTGACAAGACACCAAGGTGGGTGTTCCAGCAGGCGGTTATATCCCACCAACGGAGCGATGGAGTAATGAGGATTAGAGTATTTATAATTCAAAATAACGCCTTTGAATATCAATAAAGGAAATGACTGTGCACACAATGAGAGCCGTTATAATGTTTGATTGTCGTCATTGGATATCTGCTCGAGCTGCTGTTGTAGCTCTTTGTCTAAATCCAGTTAGCACAGTGATAAACTGGGGTCTGATGGTGTTTACTCTGGAGTAGCAGCAGCAGCGGCGGCGGTGGCGGTGGCGGCACGGCTGGAGGAATGCTCTTATCAGTGTTATTGCTGCCGCTGCTTCACACAGTCTGTTAACAAACTGGCGGGGAAAATAGGAGCTGACAGTGTTGAGCTCCCTCAGGTGCCTGCAGCCTCATTCTCCACTAATGTCCATCAATATGGCTCGTTATTCAAATGAGATGAATGGGATATTGTCAGACAGCGAGAGGCGAGTGGCAGTGTTATTTTGACCTATTGTAAATGTCGCAACCTTGCCCTGGTACCTTCGCTTGCAGTGGCGGGCGGCTGAGGGAGGGTTTCTTGGTGTAAATAATGGGCCCTTGGGTGTCAGGTTTTTACAAGATGCCTGTCTATAAATCAGCTAGTGTTTGCTATGACATCAATTTTAACAGGGGAAAATGACACCTTGCTAATTTACAAGGAGTTAGTGAAATAGAAAAGCAATCTGAGAGTAATGTTGATCTGTTGGAACACGTGTTGAGCCGCAAATAGGCACGGAAATGATTTAGCAGCCATTATTCAGAGGCTAGATATGACATATGACTATTTAAACACGCTACTGACAGCAAAATTCAAAGAAAAAATGTTAAACTCACTAATCTGAGAGTGCTTTACGAAGAGAAGTCAGTGTTTGAAGTGCACAAAGCGACACTAAAAGAAACCTCGCCAGTGTATCACACAGGCCCTCGGTATTGAGAGGAGGAGGCCAAGTGTATTGTGTCCCATAACCTCCTGTTATTGCCACACAACACAAGCAGCAGTGGCGGCCCCAGCCACTATGATGGAGCACCCCTCTCCCCCTGAGAAAGAATGTTTGCTTACTATTTCATCATCCCCCGGGGCCACAGGAAAATAAGCCCATCAGTTGTCATTGTGACAGGATAAAAATGGAGCCGTCATATTTCAGTAACACAATGCAGGCGGAGGGAGAAAGACTGAGAGAGAGAGAGAGAGAGAGAGAAAGAGAGGAGGGACAGTGGGACTCATCCAGTAGCATCTCCCTATCCAGCAAATGAATTATGGGCCAGCTTCTTTCTCACGCAAAGACTATAAGTTAATATTATCTCCTCAGGATAATTATAGCAAAGTTCAATTACTGACCCAGCATTACTGTGTGGCCCTGCACCGCGGGTTCTGACACACACCTCTTTTACACATTTATCTTTTCACTCCAACACAGTAAATCTGCATGATGGCAGTGATTTATCTACTAGTGCCCTGTCCCCAGCTCCGCCACCATTCTTCTTCTCATGCAACGATTGGTCCCGGTCCCTTGAGTCCCCTTGAGCTTAATGTAAGCTTTTCTTTTTACACTGTGTTTTCGGACCAATTTGTGTCCCCCCTCTTTTTGTCTTCGATGAATAGGGCAGAGGTGTGGGATTTTGAATTTACTCCACAAGATGTATGACCCAGTGATTCCTATAAGAGGGGGCACATGAACTCCACTGCAAATCCTCTGGGTGCACCATAACAACTGCATTGTGTGGGACTACCCTGAGCTCTTAACAATACTACTGCACAGGCACGCATGTTCTGGATGGATGTTCTGTGTGAAAACCCTTGACATTGACTGCTATTGAATGCAACACATTGTCTTGTCAGTGTGGAGGGCATCTTGTTGGGTCTGTTAGCGTTGGGCTGTGTCTGTGTTCTTCAGCGCAAGGCTGATGGTTAAAGCGAGGCATGGTTTCGAGGAACCCATGAGACATGTCTACAAGTTCAGGGGGGATAAACAGTTGGACAACATGAGGGTCTTTCTCTGAGGAGACAGTTTTTAAATATAAGATTTCACAAGAAGTGTGATTTCAAAGATGGTTGCTTGAATATTAAAATTAGAGTTTTGATGGTATTATTCAGGATTCATTCATTATAGCTAAATATTAGAAGAAATACACTTATTCAAAAGGCTTTAAAGACATTTTAAGACAGAAAAGGCAAAAATCCAAAGAGCACACATGAACTTTAAAATTAATTTATCCAATCTTCTTTCAGTAATTATTGGCAAGTATCATTTAAATTTGTATTTATTGGATTGACAATCTGCGTCTTTCCTGCCTTTGTTTTCCTTCAAAATCCCCTCTATACCTTTTCATGTACACATGATGCAAGATTGCTAACAAATTTCCTTTTTGCATTAATGCATGTAAATGTTTATGTACCTTTTATAGACATCTTTTCACTCCTGAAACTTTTTACAAATCAAAAATGTACATTTTCCCTACTTTTTAATTTATATGTGATATTGAAAATTGTGGAAAATATCCACAAAGCAGAAAACTATTCTACACTTGAAACCATTTGTCCCTTGTTTTATGCAAAAAAAAAAAAAAAAAAAAATTCCTCCACACCTTGTGACTGATTTGAAGACTTTGTCACCAAAACAAGATCTTCAAATGTTGAAGAGGAGAAGTCAGAGTTGAGGATAGAAGTTCCAAAAGGCACCGGATACATTCGCCAGCTGTATAGAGGATGTCTTGTATGTCTGCAGCATTCCTCTACTACTGTACTTTTAGGGGAATTACATCTAAAAGATTAAACAGGAATATCACATTAGGAAGCATATATTACAGAACAATGTGTAAGTCAGCCATTTTTATATCACACAGGCTCTTACTCCCAGTGTGACATTTGATCTACAGCATATTATACCCCATACTCAGTCACAGGCTATTTGCATAAGAATTGACTGTCTGCCTACTAAGCAATGGCCCGCTTAAAGACTCAGCTGAAAATGTGTGCGTGTCACGAATATGAACATCTAAATCAAGTCACAGCCTCACCCTCATATTCCCCGACAATTATTTGGCAACACGGTGATAGTCACATTCAAACAAATCAAATTTCATTTTTTATGAGACACATGTTAAAGAGGTGTACACTTTCAGTAATTATTCTGTAAACTCGGCCCCATATTTTCATGCAAATGTATTAGATAGTGACACGTCAAATAAGAAATCCAATTTGTTGGTTATGAAACACATGTAGGGAAGAAATGTGTACACTAATTATTTCTGGGGCATCCCGCTCCCCTCCCTCGCCCCTCCACCCGTTTCACACACAAACTGAACTGGATATTACATTTGCTTAAAACTCAATCACGCAAAAATGAAGACTCGATTTGAAAAATTTTAATAAAGATAAGTTGCCTCTATCATTGAATCAGGGAATGCTAATCGGCGCTTTCATTCGGGTGGCGGCAGATAATGTCACCCTAGCTTGAGGCTCTTATTTTGCAATAAAGCATTTACATTCTAATGATTTTATTATAGCTTATACAGGCTGTCAGCGACAGACCAACTGAGCCGCAGCCCCTTCCTCCCAGCCGCTTCCATTCAAATCGGCTGGCAAATTGTATCAGCTATCAGCTCATAGTGCTTTTATCAAGCTGGCCCAGTGGCAAGCCGGGGCCCACCACAATGAGATGTCTATTGCTTGAAGAGTCTGTATTTAATCATTTCTGCTCGCCGGTATTGTTCTGCTTACAGTGCATAAATAAGTGCTTCAAATAACCCCGGAGTGCCACTGACAATGAAACAAAGTATCTGTCTTATTTATCTTCCTTGCATTCTTCACCGCGCCCCTTATATATTTATATATTTATTTTCCCTTTTTCCACCACTTTCTTTATTTGCTTCAGGCGATGTTTCCTTATTCACTAACCTATCATCTTGGAACAGTCTGAAATTACTTGCTGATGAGTAGAAAGCTTTTGAGATACAGATAAACAAAAGGTAGTTTTAAATGGCAAAAATTTCCACTCTCCTGACGACTCTATTAGACAGTCATGAAGGCAAAAAAAAAAATAAAAAATCTTAACTGGACTGAAGCCAGCCTCTCTGGAAGTGAGGGATTGTTTATCCTCTGCTACAGGAGATGAAAGAAAATAGCTTTATGCTAGCTGACAGTTATGTGCACCTTTAGGTTGTCTTTGCTAAATAGCACGAATGATCAGTTTTAGGTGTTTTTCAAAAAGAAAAAAAAGCAAATTTAGGCCACAAGGTAAGAAAAGTGTTGTCATACTTAAAATCAACAAAGTTAGTCAATTGACGGAAAAAGGACAAGCTTGTCTGTAGCAAACAAACAAAAAAAAAGAGTCAAAACCTGCATCTTTTCTGGTTTTGTACAATAACTACTCCCTCAATTTTAAGGTAAGATCTACTCCACAGCCAGCACAGAGAGAGAATGAACATATCAGGACTGTTTTAGGTTTTAAGAGGAATGCTTTGATTGTCACATTTCTCTTTATGCAGCATTGAAAGCTGTGCATTAGTCTAAATATTGTCCAATCATATTAGGTTGCAGTAGTTATTCAGCTAAATGAATGTCATATTTCTTAAACATAAAAAAGAATAATACAGACTACAGCTTGTAGGGCTGAAGAGCGGGTGGAAAACAGAGATCTCACAAGATGAGCAACTTTATGTGCTTGTACATGTTTAACATTTTACAACACCAATCAGCTGGAGCCAGATGTGTACGTTCAAATGGTCAGGGTGACAGGCCCCCCCACTTGAGATCTGATTGGCCAAGCCAAAAGTTTTAAATCATTATTGCCTGTTTGTCTGGTCATACAGACTTGTGTTAAAACTAACTATTTGGGCTCTGTTGCAAAAGCTGACTGGTGGTTTCTCTGCACTTATGCACTGTTATCTATGATGGCACTTTAAACTGTATAAAAGACACTTTGCACATTTATTTTACAAAACAGATGCACAACCGTTCTAGATTTTTCGAGTAAATAAAGGCAAAAAACATGTCTCAATTCATGGTTGCATACATACTTTGTGCCACTTTGACATATATCAGTGCTCAACTTGGGCCACCTCAATCAAAAAAGTCTGCTAGAGCCCCTGAGTAACCTTTGTGAGCATCATAGCTTAGTATTGTCATTAACATTACTCCAGTAGAGTCAATTATTGTCCCAGTTGCCATTAATGTGGTACAGGGTAACTGGTAACTCCTTCCCCAAATATTTTACTGTGCAGAATGAAAGCTTTTTTCTTGAAGCTCTGCTGCGTGAGATTAACCTTTCATGTCTAATCACTGTCATACAATCATCTTGTCAGTTAAACATGGAGGACAGTGATGATATGATGCCCTCATCCATGTTCCACCATAGTCTTCAGGTGTTTTAATACAGCGTCTCACTGTTGCTGCCTGTTCAGGGTGCACCTATACCCTCGGCAGCACAGCATTGTGTTCCAAGTTTGACAAGAGTGCTTTGAACTCACTTTGGAGTTGGATCACCTGACCCCGGGGCCGGTTTGTCACCGTAGCCTCATGTATCAACATGAGAGGGAGAATGCCTCAGAGGGACTTTGACTAATTGGGCGGGTTAAACCGCCGTTCATGAATCTCTGGCCTGATCCCCTCCAAATATAATGAATCTGGGCAGGTTTTGAAAAGCCAGGAAACATTTCTTGTGACCTTAGTTGTGAGGCGTTATTCTGGGAGACATGACCGTAAACCCATCCCTCTTCTCCTCAGGCAGTTAAATACCTGCCATTGTGCACCATTGTTCTGTTATTGCTGTTGTCCCTTTTTCTTTCAAGCTCAATTCTTTATTTTGGTGTATATTGTTACTCCAGAGGAGAGCTTTTTATCCTGCAGGCAAACATCAAACTAAGAGACAATATCAGCTCCACAAAAGAGCTCCAAACTCCATTATCTGTTTTTTCCCCTCTTTTTCTGACTCTGCTTCTTCTTCCCTGTGTTTCTTTCTTGTCCAGTCCTTCAGCAAGATCTCTCTCTCTATCTCTCTCTCTCTCAATATCGATTACACTGAGCTTATATTTATCTGTTGGAGATTAAGCAAAGAAAAGCTGACCAAAAAAAAAACAAAAACAAAGAAAAGTTTAAATAATCTGTGAAGATTAAACTGACCTGTTTAACTATAAAGGTAAAGCATAATGTGCTTTTTCAGGCCATTTTGGGATTACTCAAGTACTGTCTCTTTCTGCATATTTGCAAGTCATTTTTATTTAAGACAGTTCAATTTGAACTGTGTTGCAAACATTAAGCTGAAAACAATGACTTTTAACGGCAGCTCAATGAAATTTAAAGGGCTTTGACGTTATTAGGAAAATCGGGTGTTGAAATGAGTTTTTCTAGTGATATCTGTTTTAGTTGGAATTTTGGTTTTGTGTGAGAAAGAAAGAGGCTACTATACCTTTGATCTTTTGTTTTTATATTTTTCATCTCTATTTTTATATATACAGCTAAAAAAAATTGTAGCTCATATACCAAAATGATAAATTATTATGATATAGTTACATAATAATTCTGTGAATGTGGGTCACTTAAGGAAAAATCATCATTCTAGCCTAAATCAATTACTTAAAGGATATATTTTTCCAATCAAATCTCAAAAATGAGTCAAATTTGACCCTAACAGGAAGTAAGGGTAAAATCAACAACAGAGTTATAGAAAACCACCTACATATCATATACTAAGGACTATATGTTCCCTGTGTCAGAGCACCTACAACTGAATGAAAATTTTCTTGAGTAAATAAAGGGTTTACCTTTTGGGTTACTCACTGCAAGTACAGCAAGGGAAATACATAATGGGTTAATAAAAATATCCACTGTGGATAGTGAATTTGAAGATTTTCAGATTAGAAATTTTCTTTGCAACCGATTTTTCATGAGAAATAACATTTGGTTAGAGGTTAAGCTGTTAAATTTCATACTATAACACCCTAGTGTGTGTTAAACGCTTACTTTGGCATCAGAAATGCTACTTGAGGTCACTGCATCATACTTGCAAAAAGCCAACTTACCATTTATTCAAACTTGCTTTCCCCTGTATGTTAGTGCACATTTAGGCTCAGACTGATTATCAATTTCCAATTTATCTGTCAGCCCACAGAGGTACCAGGTAATAAATACAGTCAGAGTCATGATAAGCCAACATCTCAGTGGAAGACGAGAGTATTTTATGCTTTAAAGAAAAAGAAAAAAAAAATCACAGGGGAAATTTACATTCAGCACATCAGCAGACCAATCCGCTCTCCTTTCAGTCATTGCATTATTCACTGTGTGTTCATTTCCTGTTGATCAGATTGACTGTTTGATGTATCCCCCTAACTTGACACAATGATGCTGATAAAACAGTGGCAAATTTACTTATTCTGGTGACAGACAGCAATTTAGCGGGAAATGAAGTTGTCGTGCGCACCATATTACATACGCACCCTGGCAAATAACCTAGTTTGAATAATCACTGCTACTGTCTGTTTAAATGATTTTTATACCCATTTTAACGGAAGCCTTTGATGTGATAATACTAATTCCCTGCCTGTGAGAGGGAAGGTGGAGAAAAAGTGGAAATTATTTCAGTATTAGGGTGTCACTCAATCCTCTAGCACACCTAGCGCCCTTATTAACTGGTAATGATTGAGCTGCTACATCCACTGCACTGCCTTCACAGCTTTAGTGTGGTGTAGCTCATATGATTTGAAAACAGTTGTGGATGCTTTAATCTTGTTATATTGTTTCTCAGTACAGAATATTCAGTCAGAGGAAAAGTGTGGATGAGAGTTGTTTCTTGTTTCGCTGTCGGCATAGTCAGCTTTATAAGCTGGCTGTAATGTCTTTCTACGAGCTCTTAAAGGGTCTTTGTCATGATGTATGAATCCTATATAAATTGATTAGCTGACAAACAAATCAGTTATTTGTTTATTTCAAAATAGTCAAAGTGTCATGCTAGTTTTTCTTGGCTCATAAAAAGCAATAAAGGAAATGGTTATCAGTCACCAGCCCATGACCAATTTGCCTTTCGCAGATAATGCGAGAAAGACATCCTAATGCATGGGAGCTGCTCTAGTTTTGAGCTACATTTACTTTTGTTTCTCCCTAAAAGTTGATTAAAAAAAAAAAACAGTTAAAAAAACATATTAAAATAGTCAAAACTAAAAGTAGGCTACGGTGTATAGAAATGGAAATATTTATTATAATTTTTATAAATATTTATTTATATTTCTAGAGCGCAGATTCTACTCTGAAACACCCCCTTGCTTTTCTTCTGTCAGTTGTTGAATTTTGTAGATAAAAAGACTCATTCTTAGTAAAAAAAAAAAAAAACTAGCCCATTTCTATATTTGGATATCCACTGATCCATCCCTATGAACACAATATTCTATTTCTACTAAGTCTGTTCGTAACTTAAGGCTTTCAACAGGTCTTAAAGTTTACATCATTCTGCTCATTTTGAACAGAATTTGTGGATCAGCTGTTACTATTGCTAACTTTGGATTGGCTATACCCATCTCAGTTAAATACTTGGCACTGCACCTTTAAGACAAGTCATATTAATATCTAGAGCAGTAAAGATTGCCTATACTTTGACTTTATTCCAACTAAACTATAAGTACTATTCAAAATCAATCATCATTGGGAGAAATTATCTTTTGTTTGTTGTTTGATGGGGGAAGCCTGAAGTCCTTCTAACAGGTTCAGCATGAATACAACCACCACCTATGACTTATTCAGATACCTACAGCTTGGACACTATTAACAGAAGAATACTTCACCATCCGATATAGAGAATTTCCTCATATTAACAGTGACAAGAAGGATAATATCACACATTTACAAGTTACTACAGGCAGAACTAACAGCTAATATTTTGGATATGAAGGGGAAATGGCAACCAGAAATACAGATTGTAATCTCAGACAAAGTGGGTTATCGCAGTTAGCTCCATATGGATGTTACTAAATGTAAAGTAAGGATAAAAGTTTCCTTTTCTGTCTTACTTTGTAATACCGCCAATCAAAGTTGGAGGGATTGTTGCTTGGTAGTGAACCATATATTTCCTTGGACTGTCCTAAGATGCTAGTCTACTGACAAAATAAAGAGGGAAACAGAATAATGCTTGAACACAGAATGGCCTAAGAAACGATTTATCGCTAAAAGCATTATAGCTGAACCTTGGCTTAATCCAAAGCCCCCAATTGTTACACAACGAAGGCCAAGAATCAAGCAGGTTTGTTCGATGGTGTTTTTACAATTACATCTACTTTTTCAAATGATATTCCAAATAAGGACTTTATATTTGACTTTAATGAATCATCTGGTTAAAGTGACATAAATGAACATATATTTAGAAGTAGTTATAAATGGGTGAGATGAGTACTGATTGAGGTGAAAAACAAAGAAGCACCATCTGAAAATCACATCAGTACAAACACCTTTCCTGCTGTCTCTTTTTAAAAGCATCTGCTGAGTTCAAAGGCAAATGCCCTTGTTATCCCCCAAAATAGTCTAATTCACTGTCTGTTTTACATAGCACAATGCCCTAATACATGATTTAAGGAGCTTTCACGTATCACATGCATTAGGATAATGGAAGGGAGTGATAAAACTTTCAGTAGCATTAACATGTGATGCATAAAATAAAAGAATCAGAGGAAAAGGTTCAAATAAGACTGTGGAATAAAAAAAAATCAGAGCTTTTGGATAGAGTGTGCATGTCACAAAAGGATAACAAGGCCCCCAATTATACATTATTTATTTGCTTATAACCTGTATTCAGTTTTTCACCCTAAGTGGTCAGACACGTGGGTGGAAATGTTTACAAGAATTTGCAAAGGTCTGAGAATGCCAAGGAAAAATACAGCTCAAATCTTCACGTTTCTGATCTGCAGCTTGTGTTACAGAGCTAAAACCTACATTTCTTTTGTGTAAACATGCTTGAAATTTCTAAGAAGGACAAAAAGATTCATTGTTCAATTGATCAACTGATTAACTTTGATGTGACCATTTCATGGATAGATTTATATCTTTAACTACTGAGGGAAAGCTAAGCTTGCTGTTAAGGTATACCCTTTTGGTTTTAAAACTAAAATGAAGAATCCCAGAGTGATAAGGTGTATAAATGATGGGAGACAGTTATCATGTACTATAGTTCTATTCAAGATTTCACCTCAGAACATCACTATGAGTTTCATAGTTTTATTTCACCCTGATAACAGCTCTTTTATTGAGAGGGTGGTGAAGCATACTCTGATATACATTTGTGAAATAATAGCTTTTTGCATTAATGGTTCACTTTGTGGGAAAAAAAAAATCGGCTTTGTAAAACACATTTCACAACTGAGACAAAACTGAGCTTGTTATTGTCAAGAAATGTCTTAGTTTGCTGCATGTACCTTTCGGTTAACATTTTGGATCACACCAAATAATCTTGACTGTAAACTTGAGTTTTAGCATTTTCAAGGTGCAGCTCCCTGTCAATGATATCTTTAATTCAAAATGTCATCACGCTCTTGAAATCATCCAGAAAGAGAGACACGGATACATGCTGAATACTGACATCTTGCCCCTCAATATTTGGCCTGTAAATGCTACATCGTTTATAAAGAATACAACCTTCCTGGAAAGTTTAATATCTCTTCCTAATGGTTATTTACCCAGTTTGTATTGTGTGCTTTACAACTGTCATTATTATTCCCAAAGTAAACTTAACTTATGAGCAAACTTAATTCCATTATTAAGTTCGAGTTGATTTAATATGACTCAGAAATTACTGTTTTTTACCCTGAATTGATCTTTAAATATATTTTTGACGTGGATAGTTAACTGAGTTACAGTATGTAGGCCTATATAAAGATGGAGTAATGTTTCTCTCACTTTTTCAATGGAACGTATTTTTTAAAAAGCCTGAGGTTTCTGTGCCAACGCTTATTAGAGATCATTTTACAGCAAAATGTAAATGCTATTTTTTCTTGTTTTTATATAGTGAGCCAAATGCTTTATTGTAATGCTTCTTACATAGAACTGGCGTGCCCTGCTCTGACCAAACTTCTCAGCGGTAAGCCCATATGGTGCGATCTCTACAAGCATTAGTACTTCATTTACGGTAGTAGTAGCATCCTGAATATTGATCGGCTGTAGCTTCATTAGCTGGGAACTGACATCCCAGATTGATGTCTCTTTAAACTGGGTCCTGGTCAGGGATACCTGGGGAATCACACTATTGACTTTGGACTGTTTGTGCTGCGAGGCCTCTGGAGACTTTGTGTTAGCTTTAATGGGATCCATCAATTCAGCTTCCCTTTTAATAATTATTGTTTTACCATACACAAGAGGCTACAGCGTCTGAAGGTTTTTATTTATTTATTTTTCCGACGTTGCCTGGAGACAACAGAGACTCTCTCTTGTTGTGTTGTTCTTTGCATAAGAAATTTACAATGTGGGGGTTTGTTTTTTGTTCATTTTTCTAAGTCATGACAAGCTCCTGCTTTCAACCTGTTCTCCGAAAGAACAATACACGAGGGAGGAATACAAAGAAAAGATAGAATTCCGTATGAGTAATCCAGAAATCCCCTCTCAAAGATTTGACATCATTAACCTGTACATTGAATACAGAGGAATGGCTTTTTTCCTTCAAAGATTAGCATTGTGTGATTGAAGGCGTGTATTTCTCTCTGTGAAAGACAATTGATTTTCATACACTTGATGCCAGAATCCTGTAGTTGTTCTTAACAGGATCTTTGATTTTTCTCCAGTTTAACACACTATGACCACACGAAGTTGAGACACATAAAAGCACAACCTTGCAGACCTTCAAGTTCACCTTGTAAGGAAGATGGGGGGAGGGGGATGCAGGTTGCCTTAGATGGTCCTGGAGAAAGGGAGGGAGTGACAGAGTGCTAGAACAAGAGGAGGAGAGGGAGAATTAAGTGATCTTGGTACATGATGAAAAGGAATGCTAATGTTAAGTACATTGATCAGCTGCTCCGCTACAGCCCGCCCTCCCCCTCCCCCGCTGTATCAATACATTGAAAACATCATTTGTATCAGCAGTTGTTTCTTTAATTAAGATCTGGCCCAAATCTTTGCTATTGATTCATGCCATTACCTTATCGACATTGTCTCGCCGAGCTGACTCAGTGGCTTTCTCTCTATTGAAATGACCCGGCTTAGGGGTACAAAGTGCACCGCCCGTATTATGTCATATAAGCAAAGCCGTGTCTTTGTCTGCTGTCCAAACGAGGTATTCAAGGTAAGTGGTACAGACCAGTATTGACATCAGTTTGCGTCACTTAACGAAATTAAACATGTGGGAAAATAGCCTGAGAGACTGGGGTACTCTGGGGGGAGTCATGTGATTTGACACAGAGTGCTGAGCAGCTCCTTTTGCACTAAAGTGGTGTAAATATCTAATTAAGTAAAACCAATAATAGATTAATCCTTAAATAAATGTTTTAGCAATTTCTTTGTTGAAAAATGAATGTATGTTCTGCAGGATTTCTTAGATGATTCCTCTGTGAGGGTTTTTTCCTTTTCCCCAAGAGTACAACAATAATTCCCTCTGAAATAGCCTCCATTCTTCAATACGGTGTATAGTATTTACTTCATCATCATTAAGAATCTATCCCACAGTCATTACAGTGATTGATTCCACCACTGAGACCTTAAAGGCATATTCTCTATACGGAATATCCCTTTACTTGGATCTCTTTCCTGTCTAATTGAACAATGACACATTTTCCTGTGCTCTGTTATCTGGGTTTTTGGGGAGCTCATCCCTACATCAGCCAACTCTCACCTCCTCCCCTCCTCCTCAGTCGCTCCTTTCCTGCCTTCCTTGGAGGCATTTTTTAAGAGCTGCCTGGTGTCTCCTCCCAAAATCCAGCCCCTCGCACTGTGTGCGTGGTGTAGGAGAGGCTCCTAATTCCAACAATGCGCTCACTGCTGCGCCTCAGGTGAGGTTTCCAAAAGAGCCGACCGCCACAGTCTCCTCCTCCTCCTTCTTCTCCTTCTCGCAGGCAGACGTCGACACTCGAGCTGCCATGCGTCCTGCTGAATACCGCCAGTCAATCCCACTTGTCTCACCGCGTGAAGCAGTCCAGCATCCACCCACCCTGATAAAATACACAACCCCCCCACTCTTTTTCCAAGCCCCTGAAGTGTTAAATTTGTTTCCCCCCACTCATCCCCCACCTACCCCTGCAGGAGCACCCCGCGTTACACTCCTGAAAAACCCCCAAGAAGAGTTTTTTTTTTTTTTTTTTTTTTTTAACGGGTGAAAGGATCGGTGGAGGCTTTGCATCTCCATGGGCATTTTGAACAACGCCTGCTTTGCTCCGATTGCAACCACCACAAACAAATCCAATAGCCAGCGTTAATCTGATCATCTCATCCCCAGCACTTTTCATGCTGGGTTCCTTCCTCAGAACCCCTTGTACTAGTTCCAGCCTGGGAGTGTGTGATAAGACACTGGAAATTTAGTCATCATCTTCGGCGCAAAGGAGCTCAGAGGAGGGATTATGATATTCCTATAACCTTACATTGGATATGGACAGGGGCAGCTCCTAGTGCGGATACAATCCTGTACATAGCTGTCCGTCCGGCCCTTTTTCCCCCGGCCCCATCCGTCGCCTCTCTCCTTTTAAAAGGTTGACTTTACAAGATTAGCACGCGCTAGCCGTCATCATGTTAGCAGAGATAGCGAGGAGAAAACCTAGCGTTTACTGTTGTTGAATACATTTTGCCTCTCTGATAAGACACCTGATAGATATGAACAGTTAATTCCATTTTTCTTGTGCAGTGGTTTGTAAAAAAAAAAAAAAAAAAAAGCCTAAAAAAGTGTTGATATATTCATTCTGAGGAGAAGCTTAAAAGGCGCTACATTTGGCTTGCTAAGATAGAGAAGCACTTGAGATTGGAATAATCTTTGTACAAGTACTTTCTTAACAGATTATTCCAAATGCCTGGTACACACAAAATGATGGACAAGATAAAAATCACACTCATTCCCCGCAGACCCAATTTCAGTCAGGTTGGCACATTCAGATATCTGAACTGCAGAGATGAGTGCTGAGATGACTTCCTGGCATTTGTGGGTGCCAAACAAATCAAAACCCCATGTTCACATTTCACGAGCATGTGTCTCATTTAGCTTGGCAGTTGCATGTGACTTGCTGTGTAATTATTGTGGATGTCATTCAGAATGTTTTTTTGGCTGCATGGTCAATAATATCTCATTTCAGTGGAGATTGTATGCTGAATTTTTTGCCACATTTTGAACGTATTAGAACATCTTCGTATCCTTTGGTTGAACTCACAGGAGCTGTGTGAATTATTCCCAGCCCTTCTCGGGAACTCGTAAACTATTGGCACATGCGCGCTCATTTATCCAGCGATTTAGACACAGTGGAATCAAGAAACTAGATAAGATATGCTGGCTACAAATACAGCAAACTTGAAAACTAGTGGGTAAATTAAGTTAGTTTGGAGGAGAACTGAAACAGCACTTTCCAGCCACTTCAAGCTTGCTGGTGGTTTATCTATAGATGCATTATTTTAAAGACCTACATGCTTGAAATAAATAAGAAATGACCTGTATATACCTTTACCAACACAAAGCTGTTTTGAGAAATCATTAGTAAGGAAATTTATCGCCTGAAAAGCCAGTCCTGATTCAAACAGAGTTCCTCATGGTAGTTATTAAAAGACCTCTGCCTCGGGTTGTGTGCAGAGATGGACACACACTAAATGGTGTCAGAGGCAGGTAATTATGTAGCAGCAGCTCGTCACTGTCACGCAGTTCACAGCTTGTTTTCTCTTTTTCCCGAGAAACTCCTAAGCTGCATCTAATCATGAAAAGAATCCAGAGATGTATCCGGGTCCATTAGCGGAGTCACGCTTGCGGTATAACATCAGTCAAACATTATAATAGCCTGAGCAGCTCTGTGTCGTATATACAGTGAGCTCATTGTTCTGTCACATTTAAAAAGTATATATTAGACGTCTCTGACAGGCCGTGTTAAATATTGATTGTGATGCGTTTGAAATGTTTTGGCTGTGTATTTTAACACTGCCTTTTCTCTGTCACCGTCCGTCTCCCTCTCTCTCTCTCACTGCTCTTCTTCTCCAACGTGGTAAGTTCACATTTTTTACCTCCTGTGATACAGACTCATTCAAAGTCAGATTAAATTAAGGCAGGGCTGTCTCCCTGAGATCCAGAGTGACAGAGATGTCCCAAGCTACAGGAAGCAGCAGTTACAGTTCCAACACCACCACTAACCCTCCCACCCCCAACCCCCAGTCAGCCCAGCCCCCGCACTTCCCACATCTCCCATCAATATTTCATTAGGTAACCTTAGAAGCAAAGTATAAGTGAACACGCAGGTGCATGTGAAGCACGCACGCTCACACACACTCACACTTTTCTCTCCTCCTCTGTTTCTGCCGCGCAGGTTTGCTGAGTTTCTGTCTAGCCAGACGTGCAAAGAAAGCTAAGCCCCCCCCACACCTCCTCCTCTTCGTCCTCCTTCCTCCTCTTCCTACTCTTCTTCCACCTCCTCCTTCATGGATTCATTTATCCTCATTCAGGATGACAAAAATCAATCATTTCATTCTCTCTGGATGGCTACCCATTAAGAATGGGGACAGCAACTGAAATGAAATACACATTTCCCTCAGCTGATCCCTCCAAGTGATAGATTTGTGCGGCTACAAATGAACGGAGGTGAAGGGTTTTTTCAAGTCAAAATGGAAGTGTTTGTACTATATGTCTTCTAATCACCCTCAATGCGCAGACACCGCCGTGTTGATAACGTCCTTATCTCACAGCCGATGCATAGAGAGTTGTCGACTGTAGTAAGCCAACCGTGTCATATGGAATCAGGCTTTGAATCACTTATTTTAAACGCATTTAACACCTTGTCAAAGGCCTCTGAGACTTAGGGAGAAACATGTGTCTTTGATATAATAAGGCATAGTTGTGAGGGAATTTTGCTCTATTACAATAAAGACATGCAGGAATCAGGCTGGGGGGGAAGGAGCTGAATTGAATTCAAGCCACAAAATTTGAAAGTAAAAGCTGTCTGCTTCAGCCGACTGCACCCTGAGGATTTTGGAAAAAAAAGTGTTTGATTTTGTCAGTCTTGTGTTTTTTTATGTATATTCCTCTGCTGCCTCTGCTTTTCTCTTTATTTATTACAATTAGATTGTGTTCAAGTAATTTTAGCTGCTTAAATTGTTAATGTAAAAAAGTGCATAACTTTACTGTAAACTAATAGTGTGAAGAAAAAAATAATAATAATAAAATAGAGTTTGTTCTCCAACAGGTTTCCACTCATATACATATCATAGAATATGATGAGGCTAATAAATTAGCACATAAACAAGGTTCTACATCAGACTGAGCACCCTGTCATCTCTGACACTAGATTGCAGCAGCTTTAATAGTCACGTAATCCTAATTTCAGTCAGGTTAGCATCACTCCTTCTTAGCTCTCTGAAGTGTCTGAAATGTTTACTTCTGGTTTGTTACCGTTAAGGCTTATCCACCACATCAGTATTCCTCTAAGGTGACAATATTACTTCAATTTGAATGAAAAGAAGTCCCCATCCCTTGACTAAAGCTTTGAAAAACATGCATCATGTACGAGAACATTGTTTACGCCTCAAACGTAAAATAGGTTTGGGATGTATCGCTGCAAATAATGTATAAATGTATTATAGCTGTCAGCGAGCTACATGAGCACTTTATTCTTAAGTATCGCTCCTCTTTTTCATATTATTTTCCTGACTTTATGTATTCATAGATTCCTGATCTTCTGAGGCACTGATGCATGGATTGTCAAAAGCCTAGATTAAATAAAAAATCCTCTTGTTGAAAAACTGATTGTATTTTGTTGTTTTGTTGCATGGAAAATGTGCTTCTTTGTTATTTACACCCATTATTTATTTAAAAATATATGCACATACATTCATGCAGTTATTGCAATTCAAGATCGGGATGTTTTGTTGGCGTCTAACCTTTATGAAAATCTGTATCTCTGGACAGAAATAGCAGGAAATGTTATTTATTTATTGGAGGATGCATGCAACATTGTTCTGGTAACCTGTTCAATTCTTGTTTTACCTCCTATGATGCTCATTCCTCATTTTTTAAAAAGCGGCTAAATTATCTTTGTGTTTAAAAAAAAAAAAAAAGAAAAAAAAAAACCTCCTAAAAACACACCCTGTACAAGAAGACTAAATGACAAAAGGGAGCAGAAAATTGGCTGCGACTCACACCTGCTTGGAATGATTAAGCTGCAGCGATTCTTTTTTCCCCTTCCAACAAATGAGTGCAGTAGTCGACAAAAGGTGTTGATTCAGAGGGCAAATTAAGCCTTGAACAGGCAAGATAATGTGCCTGTGATCAATTAACACAGACACAAGGTGTACCGGTTTCACTTTGAAACTTTCAGGGCCGGCCAACGGGCCCCTTTGTGCCTTTCAGCTGAGCAGCACTAATCATTTCCGTGGCTTACTTCTAAAGGCAGCCCTGGACTCAGAGTATGGATTTAGCCCGGGGACTCTCCGCAGGCAATGAACTGACTAGTCAAACATGTTCACAGCAGCACTAATCTTACTCTAGGACACTGACTTGGCATGAAAGACTATATATCTATTTTTTTTTTTCACATTACCTTTGGTGTTTTTTTCCCTTTATTTATTTAATTGGTGTAAAAAATAAAGAGTGTTCTTTCACAAATTCAGGTGGGGGTTGAACTAAGTCAAGACCAGAAAAGCGTGTGAAGTCCAGGATACAACCTGTATTTTATTCCACTTTGTACAGCCTGGTGTAAATAGATAGAAAGGTGGGTGTGCAGCAAAGTTCACACTCGGTTTGATCTTTTTCCAGGCCTTTTTTTTTTTTTTTTTTTTTTTCTCTCTCTGGTGTGTGAAGGTTATCCAATAACTTTTCAATTGACA